CAGAATTAAAGTCTTATTGTACACAGAATTAAAGTCTTATTGTACACAGAATTAAAGTCTTATTGTACATAGAATTAAAGTCTTATTGTACATAGAATTAAAGTCTTATTGTACACAGAATTAAAGTCTTATTGTACGCAGAATTAAGTCTTATTGTACACAGAATTAAAGTCTTATTGTACACAGAATTAAAGTCTTATTGTACACAGAATTAAAGTCTTATTGTACACAGAATTAAAGTCTTATTGTACATAGAATCAAAGTGTTATTGTACGCAGAATTAAAGTATTATTGTACACAGAATTAAAGTCTTATTGTGCGCAGAATTAAAGTCTTATTGTACATAGAATCAAAGTGTTATTGTACACAGAATTAAAGTATTATTGTACACAGAATTAAAGTCTTATTGTACGCAGAATTAAAGTCTTATTGTACACAGAATTAAAGTATTATTGTACACAGAACCAAAGTCTTATTGCACACAGAATCAAAGTCTTATTGTACTCAGAATTAAAGTCTTATTGTACACAGAATTAAAGTCTTATTGTACACAGAATTAAATGCCTGACAGACGTATAGAAGTAAAATTTTTGTTGCACATAAAATTATCTGCTTCATGTTCATATAGAAACAAAGTCTTTGTTTCACAGAGACACATGCTTGGCCAGCATATAGAAACAAAGTCTTTGTTTCACAGAGATTCATGCTTGGCCAGCATATGGAAACAAAGTCTTTGTTTCACAGATACGCATGCTTGGTCAGCATATAGAAACAAAGTCTTTGTTGCACACACTTACATGGTTAACGTGCATATAGAAATAAAGCATTTGTTGCACACAGAGTAACATGACTGACGTGCATATAGAAGTAAAATATTTGTTACACACACTTACATGGTTAACGTGCATATAGAAATAAAGCATTTGTTGCACACAGAGTAACATGACTGACGTGCATATAGAAGTAAATCTTTGTTGCACACACTTACATGGTTAACGTGCATATAGAAATAAAACATTTGCTGCACATAGAGTTACGTGCTTCACTTGCGTATAGACATAAAATCTTAGTTATACATTAGGTTACATGCTTGACGTGCACATATAAGTAATATCTTTATGTTACATAGAGTTGCATGTATGACGCGCATATAAAAGCAGAATATTTGATGTACCTAGAGTTACATGTTTGACGTGCATATAAAAGTAAAATCTTTGTTGTACATAGAGTTGAAAGTGTCACCAGGGTCAACCAAAGAGCTATTCTTGTACTTTCTGAACAGTCACTGATAAGTTGGGTTTCTTTAAACGACATTTCTAATTACCAAATAAATGATACTACAAGGAGGAGGAAAATTCTTTAGTAATTCCACTTTACAGAAAATATATTGTGATGTCTATCACACACTTACATAGTAAAACATTAAACAGAATTTTCCTATTTGAATCAATATTAATAACAAAATACAGGAAACACTAATTTGTACAAAACTTATTACATTTGTTTGTTTTTAACTTAGAACACTGTTGTCTGTATAAATTCTCTCTGTTAACAATGAAAAACTTAACCTTGTTCTTCTACTACAAATGTTACACTTTTTACAAACTCGGAAAGTCTGGGATATTTCAAAGTCCCGTTGGATTACAATCGCTTATATCTCTTATCAAGGACAACATGTCCACACTAATGTTGCTCACCCCTAATTGATCTGATAGTGAAACAGAGCAGCAACTTTAAGTAAAACATCACTGTTTAGTGAAGGATTTTCTTATATCCAATCTGAAATACTCAATGTAGTCCAACTCTAGACATCTTTACAAAACACTTCTTGCTCTCTCATTAAATATTATATGACTCCTGTAAAACTATTGGTGTACATAATAATACTTCTACAGACACATTCCCGAAAATATTCAAAATATTAGATGAACTTATAGGCCACTCTGGTGAAGGTACCACATTTTTACTGTACGTCATCACCTTTGGTCGCCCCACAACAATCATCCTGTCAACTGTTCAGTACTAACTTGGTAACTTGTTTTATTACTGGATTAGTTGAGATTTGGAGACCTACACAGACCAATATACATCACGTTAATGTAAAATAGAAAAAATATATAATTTATTGTAATTAGAAGTAATTGAAATTTAGTATAAGATAATAAACTAATTATAGAACATGAATGAGGGAAATAATTTTGAAAAACTAAAATACAATGTGCAAGTTAGGGCTAGAACGTTAGGGTTAGAACATTGAGGTCCTAGTAAATTTTGAAGATTGAAATGTCGAAGAGAGTCACTTAAAGCTTCCCAAGGAAGAGAGTAAAACATATAATCAAAAATAATATGACTTATAGTTTCCGAGGAGGAATCAGAAGAAAACTTTTGTTTTTTTGTTATTAAGCACAAAGTTATCTGTGCTAGCTGGTGTCATTAAACAACAACAACAAAAAAAAAGTCTCGGAGTTTCTCTGTTAAACAAAGAAATAAATTGTTAGTTTCAGATTGGCATGGCTTAAAGGTTAACGTGTTCGTATTATGAATCCAAGGGTTCATGGCTCATTTCCCGTTACCAAAAAAATGCGTTCAGCACCTTGTAGCTGTGGGTGTGTTATAAGAGTGACAGTCCGATCTCACTGTTCGATTAGAGTAGTCGAGGAGTTAGCAATGGGTACTACTGATTAACTGCCATCCCTCTACTTTATCAGTACAAAATTATGGACGTTTAGCGAAGATGGCCTTTGTGTAGCTTTGCGCGAAAATTCTAAATAAACAGTTTCTTGAAAAAAACTATTAACTTACAAGCCACAGATGTACTTTATCAAGATATAGTACGTATATTTTTTGTATTTATTCACGTTAAAATAGGAATTAATTACGTAAGGGGCAATAAAATTACAATTACATGTAATTTAAAAAATAATATTATTGTTTCTTTTTTTTAATTTAAGAAGTCTAACAGAAGTTCGAGCAAAGTTTTATAAGCAACAAATGACTAACACTAAAGGCTAATGTGAAAAACAAACAAACTAGTTGCTATGAAGTACCATAAAAGCTAATGTGAAAAGCAAACAAACTACTTGCTATGAAGTACCATAAAAGCTAGTTTGTTTGTTTTTCACATTAGTTTGTTTGTTTTTCACATTAACTTTTATGGTACTTTATAGCAAGTGCTAGAGTAAAGACAGTGTGGTAAATGATAGTGATTAAACCTATCAGTTTTATTAACTTATTTTGTTAAATTATTGTAATACACAGAACTTTCTGGTATATTCACGAGTGACAAAATAATTTGAGTTTGTTTTCAAATAATGCACTAATATTTTACCCATATTTATTCTCACGTTTTAGAACTAGAAATGACAGTCATTTTGTGTCTTCTGTGGTCGTTGATCATACAAAATCTGACAGTAACTGCTATCGAAATAAGTGCCGAGGAAATACGTACAGGTAAGTTTTTAAGCAAAAGCATTAAAATTATCGGAAGTATGTCACATATTGGATGATATAAGAGATTTATGTTAATATATCATAAAAAGATCCCACTTTGAGGACGTGGATGCGTTATAGAGTGATGGTCAAATTCTACTATTAGGTTTAATGAGAGCAGTCCGAGTGTTGAAATTCGATGACGAGGAACCCACTTTGAGACTAATAATGGCTGGAGACGGCTTGAATGGGTAATGAAGAAAAACTTTAATACAACAGCAAATGTACAACAATGTTGTACATTTACTGTACTATTTGCTGCTGCTGTAC